CGTTATCTCTACGCACTAAGGGGTTAATTGGGCCGTTATGGTTAATTGGTATATCGGTTGAGGTAGTGAGACTCTTAATTATTAGATTTACATAGTGATTTGATGGATGTTGGTAATCTAGAGATGAGATGAAATTAATTGATTTTGTCGTATACGTGTGTTCTGCCAGCTTTTATTGGGTTCCTATTAACTATCCCTTACTTCGGGGCTGGGTGTCCAGTAAGGGCTGATGGCCAGCTATCCCTGCCACCTCCTACCCGGAGTACTGTCCGTACCAAGGCAACTTCGTAGGCCCTTATCTAATAATAGTGAGATACTCAGTACACGCCCTCATATCTAACAGTTATGGTGTTGTGACATATGGCGCTAAGGCCTGATAGAGTCCTAGCGTGCCAAGCGAGTTGGCTGCGTATACCCCGCGCCGCACACCGGCTTCAGGGAAGTCAAGTATTATTCACTCAATGCCATCAAGTCATCCTTTCACTATCTATCCTAGCGTGAAGCAAATACTATTGCCTGCAGCTAGACCTAACAACAGCCACAGCCGAATTTTAACCTTCGTCTAGCGTTCTGCCCCTCTTCGTCTTCACTCCGCCTTAGTAGAGACTACAGATATAATGGAGTATTCCTACATCACTACGGACGATGGCTGTAAAATCGCTTTTCAGAGCTCCCAGCCAATTAATTATTTGCCTCTCGAGAGGAATTACGGCACCCTTACGCTCCTTATACATGGTTTCTCGGGGTCGTCATTGTACTTTCAGCGCAACTACAGCCAGCTCTCTCAACAAGCCTGGGTGATCGGGGTCGATCTTCGTGGCCACGGCAACTCTGGCCGTCCAAAAGGAGGATATCATGTCGCCCGGCTAGCCGCAGACCTGAAAGCACTCATTTTGCATGTGAGGAATGCCGTTCCGGATGTAAAGATAGTTCCAGTGGGTTGCTCTATCGGCGCCGCGATTCTATGGACTTATGTGGAGCTTTTCAGCGACGATGACTTTGCAGGTATGGTCTTTGTTGACCAGGCACCCCTGCAGGACCGCTCCCCTTTTGGTTCTTGGGACGAGTCCAAGGCCCACCGTGGATGCTTTGACGAGAAATCAATGCTGGGCGTACAAAAGGCGTGGATACAAAATGCTGAGAGTGCGTTCAAAGGGCTAGTGGCGGACTGTTTGGGCTATCGTTACGACCCGCTGCCAGGCGATGATGCAAGCGAGGAGCGCAAGAGCGAGGATGAGCGGTTCTTCACAAGCCAAAGTCGAAGATGCGACCCTGTATGGTTAGCCAGACTTTTAGCTGATCACACGAGGTACGATCATAGGGAGGCTTGCGAGCAGATAGAGGTACCTGTACTGGTTATGGCCGGAAGAAGGACGGGCTGTTTCCCGCTGGACGGGATGAAAGAGACTGTCAGACGAGTTGAGGAGGGACGGAGAGCTAGAGGTGGTGGATATCAGCCTGGATGGTCTGTTTTTGAGGGTGGCCATTGGTTGTTCTGGGAAGAGCCGGAGAGATTCAATGAGGAGATCAATCAGTTCGTGGACACTGTGAGCATTGCGACGGCAGAGCAAAGAATTTGAGCGATAAGGGTGAGTGAATCGACTTATCCAAAATGGTCTGTGGCCGCTTTCGGTGTTTGTCACCTCAGGTCCATCTGCACATCATCCGAATAGGCAGCTCGTTGATAGTAAGCAATCAGCTTATATAGACAATCATGACAGGCCAAGATTCGTCCCCCTTGACGTTGATAACAAAATCTATGGGTTTGAACATCTAACACACAACCTTGAAATTATACAGCTAATTGTTCCTTGTCAGATCCCTTAATAATATAGATATGTATAACCCATATATCTATCGCGTCTTATTAAAGCTAACTATCCGCGCATTCTTTAGCGGTTGGTATGCCACGGCTGCTTCAATGTTCTACATCGAGCAAAGAAACGGCTGACTTAGAGTACAATCATTACCTGTGGCTAGTAACCATGTCCACACACGGATTTTCCAGTGACAATCTGGTCTCAACGGACTCTAAACGCTCCGATTTCACCGGTACCGTCTATTGCAACTCTAAATCTATTATTCCCTTAATAATTAGGGCATTACTAGGTGAGAGAAATGCCCTCCTAGACGCACCAAGAGCATTCATGAGATAATCCTTCCGCTTACTTGTATTCTCGTCATCCGAATAGCTTCAGTATTATTAAAACCACAGTATGTGTTGCAGCTATCAGCGATGGCCGAAAGAGTACAGATGGTTCTAGATTAGCTGTCCAGACGCAATGACCGGCGGGCGCTTCTATTTATACGGACTTAAACGACTGGTAGGCAATCAGATGAGCAATTAGATTCAACTGTCAGGCTGCCCCACAAACCGGTGAAGGTGTACGACGGACAGAGCGAGCGAGTTGAGTGTGGAAGCTACTGGAGAAACAACGCAAAGTATAATTGATTTTACTAATGCTACATCAGGTAGGCGCCCACGTTGCTGCCCGTTTACAATCGGGTTGGAAAGGAAGGAGCGCGCCTGCCTGCGCGTTTGCTCATGACTACCCCCACTACACTTTCATTTCACCAGTATATAAGTGTGTAAAATCAAAAGATTTCCATCATCATTCACTCATAACTTAATTCCTGCAACACATGGCACAGTGGGTTGCAAGGGAGTCTGACTGACTCGCGATTATGTGGTAATCGATGCTACCAGATCAACTGAAGAGCGCGTATTCGATCCATAAAGTAAAACATGAAGTTGGTTTCTGGACGGTTGCTTCGCCTAGTTTTAAGTCTGGCATTGCATCGGTTTCTTTGCTACTTTCTAGCAGACAATGTCTTATTGACTTTTTGGGGAAGGGGTATACTTTTAAAGATTCCCTATTAGTTAATGGAGAAGAGAATAGATGCATACACTACTGGACTACGTGGGCGAGACGGCCACAAATGGAGCCAACACGATTGTTCCCTAGTATACTAACATCCCGATGGCGAGGTATTGTTGACTTTTCCGCAAGTAACCCAAGCCCATATCAATTCTATATACTTTGTAGTTTTATAAGATACATAGACTATCTAAGTAGTGTGTCAAACGTGTTATTGGGTGCAAATCGCTATAAGCGGATAGGCAAGGTAAATGCGGCCATATCACTGGTATTGAACCCGCAGTCTAGGTATCTACGATAATATAGACTATCCGAATGCCGAAGCACACGCAGCTAGCCTTTGTGGCTTAATTTAAGTCCTGCGAAACTTCTGACACAGAAGATAGAGATTCACGATAATTATACGTTAACGTGTTCCACCACTCATTGGCGCACACCACTCATCGGCGCACACCACCAGAACGCGCGATACCTCAGCACTGATATCTCGACAACAATAGGGTATTTTTGTATGGAATTTTGTATAGAGATAGTTTATTGCTGTCTACACTAATTTCACTTATATTCTTACTTATAGTACTTGCTACACGTAGGTGGTGCGCGCTAGCGTACTAGAGTAGGTCTACCCTCAGCACTCTTAGTAAGAGCTAGATGAGCTATAGTAGCTAGAGCACGCCCTTACTTAGCCTATAGAGCACCTCCTATAGTAATATACTATTATTACCTATTCTACCTTTATTTCTTATAGTAATTAGCTACCTATAGCTTCCTATTCTCCTCTACTAAACGTATAGTTACCTATAATCGTAATTCACTATTACCTATAGTAATTAATGCCTACTAGCTATAGAAGAACTGGCTATAGAGAGATGCTATCCTAAGTTACCTTAGATAGCTTACTTCATATATATAGGGCCAAGATGAGGGATCTAAAAATAGTTAACTCACTCCTCTTTCCTAATTAGGCAATTTATTGTTAACTACGCCGTAATTATAGGGTAGAGTACCCTTTTTTTACCGTAGCGTTCGTACTATACCTCCTAGCAACCGTAACGTAACCATATGGACCCCCCACCGTACGGTTTACCTCTTGTTGGCAGCGCTAATTGGATTGGCGTGGCTTAAATAGGTCTTTGATCACTATACAAAGAGAAAGGTAGGGCTAGGAAGAAAATGGAGACTCCTAATTGTGGATAGTTACAGCTCTCATAGGACTTTAGATTTTCTAGATTACTATATAAAGAGGAGGATTCTGGTAGCTATATATCTACCTCATAGTACTCACAGCCTTTAGCCTCTTAATGTAGTTTGTTTCTCGCCTCTCGCAGCTAGTTACTCAAAAGATCTTTCTACCCACATCTTTAAGACTTAAGGACTTGTTTCTATCACCAAAGGCAACTTTTCCTTATTGTTCTGGGCCGCCTAGACAAGCACTATGACAGGGAAGCTTATTCTAAAGTCCTTTGCAGCTACTAGAATCTTCCCTATAGATCGTGAAGCTGTACTCAAGAGATTCTGCCCAACGACACCAAGAACACTAGAAGAAGATGATAAACAAGAGCCACAAAGCTCTCCATTTATCAAAGTAGACTAGATGAAGATGAGACGTGTTATTAAGCAGGTTATAAAGGATGGGGAGCAGAGAAAAGCGCAAAAGATCGCGGATTTTGTTCACCATGTTCAGGTCACTAATGAGCTTCTAAGAGAGGAGAACAACGGGCTTCAAAAGGCGCTTAAGCTTAAGCAGATGCACAAGAAGAAGGGCAAGGTCCTCAACTTGCAGCAGCGTGCAGAATACCATAGTAGTGCTGTCTTCTGGTCTCCTAGAAAGCTTAAAGAAGCCGAGTACCGTGAGGCTGTAAGACTACAAGAAGAAAAGGAAGAAAGTTTGAGAGCTAGTCTAGCAACAGCAACAACGACTCTTCCTCACTACCCAATAGTGCACCTTGCCACCTCAACTATGCATATAACGATCAAAACACCGCAACGTTTGTTCACCACCGACCCTGAAAACTGGCTGGGCGAAAGCGAATATTTCCGTAAGCTATTCTCCGGGAAATGGAGCGACAAACAGGAGGATGGCTCATACTTCATCGGAAGTGACGCCTACGTGTTCGAACACATTCTTTAGTATCTCCGTTCTGGCATTCTCCCAGTCTTCTACGATAAGGAAAAAGGTCACGACTTCCCACTGTACCAAGCTGTACTGGCTGAGTCGAAGTACTTCGCTATTGATAGGCTATAAAAGTGGTTATGCGAATAGCGACGTGGGACTTGCCCTAACGAAACGGCCGGTTTACTGGATTCGTATCAACAGACATAGCCGGCTAGCTGTGGATGCCTCCAGACCAAGAAACTCTTGTAAGTGTGCCTCTTAACAAGTAATCTAGCTAACATCTTTCTTTCGAGGCTAAATTTTACCCCAATCCATGGATGAGATAGGCGTCATGCTCTCTAGCTGTGTCCGGGTCAGGGTCCGGGCGAGGGTTCTGCCTCACGGTGAAGTGCGACCATAGAGATGGCATGATGGCATGATGCGCCGGAAACGGAGAGCCGCGTACTACCGCAATTCATGTGATATCTCTATTAGCCAGATCAAAATACTTCCGTAAAGTTCCCTCGTATCACTATTTCCTATATCGCCCAATAAATCAACCAAACGCAAGGAAGATCGAGAGTGACTAGAGAGCGAAGTAAGCATTGGCAACGTAACTTTCAGCTCTTACTCTAGGAGCCTAGGATATGGTAGGAGCCTAGAAATTTCGCATAGTATGATAGTTTTCATTTGCAGACTCTTATCACAGGCACGCAGTTCTTTTGATGGCATGATTAAAGAAATAAGGTGTTCTAAGGTCTAGATTCTATGTAATATCAGATATCACATGCTTGTTAGAGAACGACCTAGATGTATATATATGTGCCATGCAGTAATCATTCAACAAGTTGATCATTTCCTCGCTTTACAATCTTCAAATTGAATCGAAAAAAACAAAACAAAAAAAACTATCGCACACTCATGGATGCCGCAGCATCAGTGGCCCTTGATGTGGGCGTGCGGGCATTGAACGCCTTAAATGACTGCCTAGAAGAGAAAGATACTGCGATATCATGGTATGGCAAAGAAGCCTGCAAGACGTTCACGGGAAGGAGTTGGAGCCTATTTCCAAGGAAGTGGAAAAAATTTTCTCACGTAAAGATAACGAAAGTTTTCAGAATCCGGGCCAACGATTGGCAGAAAGTGATCGAATGCTGCCTTTCGGAGATTTCAGCCTGGCACCTTCAATAAGCAGAGGAAGATTCAGGGGAATGTTGTTGGCTCCCAATCTACCATGCGTTGCCTAAACAAACTCAAAAACTCTGTGAAGCAGAGCCTAAACGATCCCTTGGGTCTCTAGGGATACTCAAGTCGCTACCTGCAGCACGCATGGACGCCTGGGGCTTAACTGTCCTTGCCATAGCAAACGGGGCGAGACCAGAAGTCACATATGCCGAGAACGGCGGGTATTTCGCATCATTTAATGCGAAAGACTTCGTCCTTACGATGTGGCAAGACAATATTGCCGCACCAGTAATTGGCCACATCGAACCGAAACAAATCCCTTCATTGGACCGTGACCTACTTACATCTCCAGAGTGGAACATGTTACTCTGGCAAGGTCATTCCTTCAGCCAACACAACCACATATCTGGCTGGCCCTTGAATGGAGTTGGGCAAAAGGAACCTCCCGAGGATCTGGTGACACATAGTCGCGATGAGGAGATTATGCAGTTAGTCATGGACAACGAATGGGTGGAACGCCTTCAAAACCAATTTCGCAATGCACTCTATAGATGTTATGACTCGTGGGAGAGGCTTCAAAGACATCCACGAAACCAAGGGCATATTGATAGTAACCGGATCGACCTCATCAAACGCCAACTTCTGGCCTTCAAGCTTATTCTTGTGGACGGTGAAGAACCGGCAAAGATACATTCGAACTTGGAAATGTTGGAAATAAGGAAAGAGGATATCCTTCACTACGCTTTGGAGCAATTGAAATTCATCACCGAGATCATGCACAAGAATAAAACCGATAGTCTACATGATGCTGCAGAGCAGGTCAGTGACGGGGAAATGAACGGACAACAGTGAGCAAAGGATGTCTTGCCTGCTCAGAGAACTGTTATTGCTTTGACGAGACTATTGACCCTACCGCAAAGAGTCCCGAGAGTATTAAGCACCCGTGCAACAGGCACATGTATATCTGTTGTTTGACCTAGTTAGCTTTTGATCAGACGGAAAGATAGGCACAGTATCATCGCCGTGGAGACAAGGTCTGTGAGCTTTATAAGGAACATTTATGTCGTCAAATGAGAAGATACATCGTACCAGTCTTTCGTTGCATTACTATCGGATCGGCGTAGAGATCTACAACCTACTATTTAACGTTTTCCTTATAAGGCAGACTAATTCCGCATTCGAACTGAGGTCCTCGATGTCCCGTGTCGTCCATGTGCTGATCTGCCGAGCGTTGGGTAAAGAACTCTCGGTCGCATGTGTCGCATCCGTATCCAGTGCATTCATGTGTTAGATAGCAGTTAGCTGGCTGTAAAACTTACGATCGCATCTCTCCCTAATCCATTCTATCCCTTTTTCTCGCGATAACGTACCCGGCAAGCGAGCTGCGCAGGCAAGCGAGCTGCGCACCCCACTAGACTTTCATGCCTCTATAGTGGTATATCTCAACAACACAATAAGATAATAGAATATAATTACTATGCTAGATTAAGTGGCATCTCTAGTGTCCTTCTTATATGTTCGTGAGTTATGGCTAGTCTCCCTGCAGCGCCGATAGCGCGCTGAAGCCTACCAACTCATACCTAATTGCGCCCTACCTTAACGCGTTTCCCCCTTAAGCTGCTACTTAACCTTATTTTAAGCTATAATTTCCTATACCTCTACCTTTAATAGGGTGACTTACTACTAGATATAATTCTTTTTATGCCTTCTACGCGTTATAGTAGTTTTATTTACTTTCTTAAGGCTC